CAAACATGGCCCTAATCCAAAGAGCCTCAAACTTGGGAAAGTCAGAGAGGGAAAATTTGACATTCTGAACCTGAATTGCATCTGTGGAATGACATCAGGCTTACACTTGACGTGGATGGTGATCCAATGGGATGTGGAATCTTTGCTAATGATGTGCTGGATGGTGCTTGAGAGAGCTTAGTATAGGAGGAACTTATTCCATACTTGAAAAGCAATTTTAGGGGAGGATGTCACATTCCTGAAGGGCATTTGCATCTTCTATGAGAAAATAGAAAAAATTAATAAAGGAAAATTTGCTTGCTAATAAGAAAATATTATTTATTAAAATTATTAAGAAGTTTGGATCAAAAGCATGAGCTCAACCAGTGAGATCAGGGTGGCGTTGGCGTTGTTCTTGGCCCTTTTCTGGTCCCAGACCTTGCTGTTGATGTGCAGCGTTGTGGGAACTTTGGTGCGAGAATATGTGGCAACAACAAGGCATGGCAGTCAGGTTTGGGGATGGGCTTCTGCAGGCCTGTCCCTAGTGTGGTCATTAATGTGGCTCTTACTGCCCAATTTATTTGTTGTGTATTGGTGCAAACCCACCCATTACAAACCTCGGATGGACTCATTTGATTCTGCCACATGGTTGGTGCAATCCAACTACCCAAAATTGTGCCATTTGACTGAGAAGTATTAATAAAAGTATTACCCTAATTTGGAGGGGTTCCACCAAGAATTGGCCAGAGTCTTTAGGCCAATGTTATTGTTATTTACTTCCAAAACGTTTTTATCACAATATCAGACTTGTAATTGTCTGACACAGTTCTCTAATACTTTTTATTTTCTAAAATTATTGATTACTTTTCATAGAAAACTTAAATACTTTCTTGCAAGTTAAATAAAAATTTAGTGATATCTGGTATTGTTTTCAGTAAAGTGATACTTTATGACTTGATTACATAGTCAATTCAACTTAATGCATAGTTATCTAACCAGAGTATGTTTTTTACTGTAAGAAATAACTTTCATTTATAACTATATGGAATATAAGGAACATATTTTCAAACATATAGAGAATGTTGCCAAAGACATTTTTTAGAAAATGAAAAGTATCAGAGTGCCCCTTGGGTTGGGACCATCTAGTACTAAAAAAAAAAAAGAAAAGTATCAGAGTGACATCTAGTACTAAAAAAAAGTATCAGAGTGATATTTATATGTTTTATTAAGCGCTTACATAACTACCTAAGAAGTTTATGCAATCTGTTTGCCATAAATTTAAGAGGTATTTTTATAAACTTGAAAAGCTATCATTAATGAAGAAAATCTTAGTGAAGACCTATCACACCCAACAAGCAGATTAAGTACATTTTATTTTCTTTTAAAACATTTAAAAAATCTAACTAATATTTGACAGATTATATAAAGGTTTATCTATCTGATATCAACAAAAAAATATACCAATTAGGTTTATGTTCACCAGTGCATAATAACAGTGATATATGACTGGTACTTAATACATGAAAAGTTACAGTATAGATGCATAAAAGACTATAATGAAATAAATTAACCATTTCTTGGCCTGAGCAAGAAATATAAATGATACCATCTTGCTACAGATCACACATAACCAATGTCATGTTATTTTTCTTTTGTTTAAAACCGTAAAAAATCTCAAAAATGTTAGTTGTTAACATATGAATTAAGAAGGCAATGTAGTAGATTTAGCTTTTTTGTGATAACAGTTACAAGCTTCATCAATTTAAATTACTGAACAATTTTTATTTACCTTTTATACTGGTGTAACAGAATAAGCAACATGTAACTTGAATAAAATTAAAAAAGCAAAAATAGATAAATAATACAAGCCTAATCAGGGATGAATGTACTATATCACACCATCTAGTACTAAAAAAAATGTACTATATCACATAATACATCTAAGTTTAAGACAGATCTCAAAGTTATATGGGTACAATCAACTAATGGATAGCACTTTATTTTTCTTACCAAGAGATTTTCTTTTGTATTTGACAACAATTCCACGTTTAACCCTTGCAAATAGATTTTAATACTTATTTGAAATTATTACTTTATAAACTGTCAAAAAAATTAATCTTGTTTTTATAAAAGAGCTTTTATAGCTGTAGATACAACTTCTAGAATTTCTTTAAAACTTTTAAAAATTGACAAGCAAATACTTTCTATATTGCTAAAATCAAATATATATTGTTGTCATATGAATTATACAATGTGATACTTTCAATATTTAATTAATTAAGAAAATTACCCAAATAAAGCTTCTAGGCTATAAAATTCTACTATGGTTTATAAAAATAAATTTAGAGCTATTTAATAATTATGTTAATAGTATTATTAATCATATCTTAGAAATAGTACCTGAGCTTTTAGAAACCTACATATCAGTTTATACTTTAAAAAGTTTAAAATCAATTGAGAAAACTAATCCATAGAACCATCTAGTACTAAAAAAACTAATCCATAGAAGTTTTGAACTCTATACATCCATCTGGTATGCTATCATTCAGATATATCTAAAACCAGGATACATTAATATGTTAAATTGCATCTATAATCTCCCAAAGATTTGAAAATTATATTCAAGCTTTTTAATGCTATGATATTTAACAAAGTATAAGAGCTGTTACCTAATGTTGTAAGATCAACCTTGAAATTTCATAGTTCTCAAATAGGCAATTATGTATTAATTTTAAGAGTTGGTATATAAAGGGAGGATACCCCAGTGGTAGAGTATAGACCCTCTACCACTGCCTCTCGAGTTCGATCCCGGTAATGGACTTTGGGTAGGGGACGATTTTGACTGTGTTGGTTTTGCGCGTCAATGCCCCGAACCGAGATAGCAAATAGCAAAGGCGGTCCATGGAGTTCCTGGCCTATCATCCGCCGCGCATGGAGGTTTTCCGGGTTTTATCCTCCTTTCCCATTTTCTTCACTTCACTAATCGGTGCAGTATCGTCCCCAGGTCGGCCCACCTCGAATAAAATTTAAAAATTTAAGAGTTGGTATATAGAAAAGCTGTTTATTTATGTCTCTGGTAAGACAACAAAAAATTTATTTATCCTATAGATCTATACATTTAATTTTATATTGCTACTATAAATCTAATTTTTAAAAAATATTAAGTGTATATAAGCTATCTCATGTTATGGCTATTGATTTATGCTATATATGTATTGTTATTGGTTTGTTTTATCTTATATAATAATTTAATAACAATAGAGAAAAGCCTTTTGCTTATATAAGATCTATTTGAGGTAGGATGACCATGCCTTTTGCTCATATTAAACTAAGGATATCTATAATCAGAGAATTATTTAAAAAATATATCTTGTATTGAAATATAAAAAGAATATTATTTGGTGATTATATACTTATGAAACTATAGTGTATGATACATATGTAATTTTACATATTGCTTTTGTTCTTACTCTTGCAAAGAGCTCTAATATATATCTTGGGTAAACAAGGCGGGTTACTTTAGAACAAATACCGTGCTGAGTTTTTTAAAGTATTCGAGGTGGGTCAACCATGGGACAAATATACCACACCAAGAATTTTTCTAGCCAGTACAGGTTTCGAACTCAAAACCTGCACTAGGGTGGAAGCAGTTTTACCTGCCAGGCTAACCACCATTAGTTTTGTGATATAAATATTCTATAACAGCAATTTAAAGTTCCTTTTAATCACCTAGAGGGTGAATAATTAATTGTCTTAAATTTCTGAAAAACTATTATAACTGTAAATAGATATAAAAATATTATTTGAAAAAAATAAAATTAAATTAAAAATTGCAACTGAAGTCAGATGTAGCAACTGGAAGATCAAAAGAAATTTTTGGGAAAAAAGAACCTCCTTTAAAAAAAGCTCTAAAAAGTATGAAATAATTGATAAATTATGCCTCCTCAATAAACCCCTTTTTGAAGTTGGCACCATATTTTAAACTGAATTATAGAATTTTACTCCCAAATACAAATTATATCTTATGTCTGGATTGGGTCCAAGTGTAAACTATAAGCAACTTAGAATATATAGTACTGAGCATATAAATTATAAATACCTATTATAAGTCAGTTAAAATATGGCTTTGACTTCAAAAAGGGGTTTATTGAGGAGGCATAATTTATCAATTGTTTCATACTTTTTAGAGCTTTTTTTAAAGGAGGTTCTTTTTTTCCCAAAAATTTTTTTGAGAAGGTTCTTTTTTCCCAAAAAAAACTTTACTCCCAGTTCCCCCCCCCAAAAAAAATAGTGCTTTTTTTAAAAGTGGCTCTTTTTCCTACTTTTATTAAATATTACTATCTCTATATATCATTTTTGACCCCTTACTATTTCTATAAAATTAAAACTCATTGTATATATTATATATAATATCTTATAAACAAATATACTAATAAATAATTTTATTAAATTTAGTTGCTTTTATTGGTCAACATATGCCAAATTTACTGATCACCATCTACAGTAATTCATTTTATTAGATTTGGTCGCTTTTATTAGCCAATCTATGGTAAATTTATTGATCGCTATCTAAAATAATTCATTTTATCAAATTTAGATGAGTTTATTGGTCAAATTATGCAAAAACGATAGCCATCTATAATGATTTAAGCTCGTCCCACTATGAGCTCATACTGACTGAATTTTGAACATACCCCCCAGTCATAGAACATATCAAAAGTGCTTCAAAAACTATCACTTCACCGATGACGGAATTAAGTTTATCCGGACTTGTGTTAGTCCCACAAGTATCCATCGCTTCCGAGCCCATTTTGATATACTTACTAAATTAATGGGCAGATACTTGACCAATACTTACAAAAGTAAAATGGGACCTAAGTTGGAGTATCCTCAATTTTTGGAGAAGATAATCGTCCAAATTGGTCCAGTATTTTCAGTTATACGCGAACAAACATAGAAAAAAAATTCATACATACAGGTCGAATTGAGAACCTCCTTTTTCAAAGTCGGTTAATAAAACTGGGCTCAACTGGGAATCGAACCAAGGACCTCTCCCACCCTAAGGGAGAATTATACCACTTTTTTTAGTAAAACTCCATACTATTTAAAAAATTAAAGGGAAAGTAAGAGGGAGGGACTAAACCATTGAGCCCTGATTCAGATGTACTATTGTAAGTTATATCTATTAACCTTCAACCAAATTTTGTTTATTTTTATTCGAGGTGGTTAACCTAGGGACGATACCGCACCGACTAATGTGACAAACAGGGAAATTGAAATATAGGGAAAGAGTGCCAAATCCCGGAAACCTCCACGCGTGGCATTATCTTTTATTTTATTCGAGGTGGGCCGACCTGAGGACGATACCGCACCGATTGAGGGAAAATCGAATGAATGGAAAGGAGGATAAAATCCGGAAAACCTCCTTGCGCGGCGTATGATAGGCCAGGAACTCCATGGACCGCCTTTGCTATTCGCTATCTCGGTTCGGGGCATTGGTGCGCAACGCCAACACAGTCAGTCGTCCCCTACCCAAAGTTCCTCTACTGGAATCGAACTCGGGGAGGCAGCGGTAGAGGTCCCTATTCTACCACTGGGGTATCCTCCCCCGCGAGGCATTATCTTCGTTTTATTTAAATGTAAAGCTAATCATAATCTTTACCTTTACTAAACTTTAGTAAGTTTATAATTGATGCATCAATAATTCATTCCTAGACAATACTTTCATGTCCGGTGACACCAACATATTGTCACGTGCAAACCAAACGTTAGTTGCCGGTGGCAACGTGTTGGGGTCATCGGACATGAAATTGTTAATACATTTCTTTACAATTTTATTTAATTTTTCGGCATATTTCAGAGCTTATAAAGTTGATTTTTATCTTAACTTTTCTGTACTTTACAAAGTATCATGTTGTCCTTTGTTAACCTTTTCACTTCAGTTTTAGTTTTTAGCTATTTTTCACCGATTTAACTTTGGTTTATGTCAGTTTAACCTGTTTTTAATATCAGTATCAACTTTCTTTAAAAATCTGCTTTCATTTTGATAATATAGATTACGTTTTTTTATTTTTGGGTTTGCCGTACCTATTTAAGCCTTTTCATTGCCTTGTTTAATTAATTTATGTGTTCATCTTTCACTGTTACTTTTTACTAAAGATATACCCCAGATCTAACTTAATTTTTTATTTACTCTTGTTTTTTGTTAGCCAGATTTTTATAGTCAAGTTCTTATACTGTTTTATTACTAATTATTGTATTAAGATATAACAAAGCTATTTTAGTATCTAATATATTTTACTTTTCCGGTTACACCATGATTTCACTTAATCTGATCATGTTCACTTTGTTAAATACTAAATTTTTCAGATTTTAGTTTTAGATTTATTTTTTCTTGTTCTCTTAAGCCTATTTACTTCGGTATAGATAAAGCCTTTTGATGACTAATTTTTCAGGAAATTTCGACGCTATGCCCAAAGTCAAGTCTTTTAGGGTTAAGAAAGCCCCTGAAGGGTTTTCAGCAGTTGAGCCTACTCTTCAGGAGTTTGCAAAAAGGATGCGTGACGGTAAATAGAATATTACGACTCTGCTTATTTATGATTTAGCTGAAAATGAGCCTCATGAGGGCAAAAGAAAAGTAGAAGCTTTATGGCCAATTTTTCGCATACACCATCAACGTAGCCGGTACATATATGAATTGTTTCACAAACGGAAAGCTATCTCTAAGGACGTTTATGAGTTTTGCATCAAGAAGGGATACGCTGATGCTGCGTTGATTGCAAAATGGAAAAAACCTGGTTTTGAGAAGCTATGTTGCTTGCGCTGCATCCAACCTAAGGATACTAATTTTGGAAATACGTGTTTATGTCGAGTTCCTAAATCCAAGATTGAGGAGGGGCGTGTCGTTGAATGTGTCCACTGCGGATGTCGTGGCTGCTCTTCTGGTTCGTAAATATTAATTTAAAATTAAGTAAATAATTGGTGTATCCGCAATGTAAGATTTCTATTCAGCTGCTTTTTAGTTTCAAGGACCAACATGACACGTTTTACTAGGCGTCAATCAAAATAGTCTAGTTTGTGCTACTATTTGCTTATTTAAATTCATAACAAAAATTTATGTATGATAAGCAAATTATTGTTCAGTTGTTGTGAAACATAGTTTGTATTTTATTAAAGGTATTTAGTTATATATGCAATAACAAAATTGATGAATTGTAGATTTGTCATGATAACCTCTGATTACAGTCAACGCTGTTTAATTTTTACTTTGGGCCAGCTTTAATCCTATACACATGATTTCTAATTTGATGTATATAAACAATGGCGAACTTTTATTATAAGACTGCAAAGTAAATTTAATGCGAGTTTACAAAATACTATTACATTCCATATAACATACTTCCTGTTTGACAATAATTTTAGGTAACTTGTGCGATTTTAGACATGACTTAAGATAATAAAAACGATAAATATGTCAGCCTTCATATTGTTAGTATTTCCTATATAGTGTAAATATAAAAATATAGAAAAATGATAATTATTTCCAAGATTAATGCTTGAGTAAACTTTAGTTGAGATCATAGTTGAGCATATTTAATCTATTAGAAATTTAGTTTTGTCAAGTTTATATTGGAGTGTATAATTTTAATATATAAATAACAAAAGCTAATAAATTATGTAAATTTTACTTTGCAGATAGTTAAAAAGAAAAATAATTAGAAATAACCGAATTACCTACTTATATACTAATAGTTATATTCAGTTATTTAAACTAAATTACCGGATTTTACAGGCTAATTTGCATTCATTACAGGGCAAATTGTATATTTTTCATTGATTTTTGCATTCATTTCAAGACAAATCATATCTTTTTCACTGAATTTTGCATTCATTACAGGCTATTTCATATATTTTTTATTGTTATTTTTCTGGTCACAAATAGGCTTTGATTTTAAATTATATTTATTAAAGTTAATAAAATAATTATGAATTGGTGCATTGAATGTACAAATCAATGAGATAATTATGAATTGACTTGTAATGAATGCAAAATAAATGTAAAAAATATGAATTGGCCTGAAAACCACGTAAATAAAATTACTGATTGGCATAAATTTACTTCTGTATAGTTGACTCTGGATATATAACACCAAATAAAGGGAATGTCACAGGTCTAGATATTTCCTTTGGGTCAGAAACTAAAAATAGTGAGAGTTTATAGAGACAAAGCAAGGCCTAAAGTATAAAATATAGCTTCTATTGGGTATCTTTGATTGTCACAAGAAATAGTAGATCACAATCTGGTTTTACTAAAGGTTTTTGGCTAGACTAAGGATATTTAAATAAAATCAGTTTTCTGATCCACCGATAGTTTATTTGGACTCCTAAGGGTCACAAATCAACTTAGAATTTGTTTGTAGTGAACTAAAAAACTAGAATGGGAGTCTGGTGAATATTGTCAATTATAATTCAATGATCAATCATTAATTAAAGCAAATTTGAGAATATTTATATAAGAAATAATCAACCCAGGTATAGAGATATTTGTGAATAACTTCTAATATTTGATTAAACTAGAACTTTAAGTTAATTATATATTATATATAATTTAGTAAAAACATATACCAAAAATAAAATTAATCTTGTCTACACTAAAATTTTGTTAGGATTTTAAAATGCCCATGTTATCCAGCTATGATAAATTATAATAACTATCTATTCTATTTTACTTTATTTTCTTTATAATAAGTAACTTTAGGGAATATAGAAGTCATTATTTGATACTTATTATCAGTAATACTCTTCAATAAGATATTAGTTTAGTCTATTTTGGGGTTTGATCCTGAACTTTATAATTAACATTTTGTCAGAGGATCATCCCCTACAATATTTATAAGGAGTCAGATTATTAGTTTAATTATCAACAATTATAAATTCTTATATAAATCAATTTGGATTTGTTGTTGATCAATGAGGGTATTTTTGAAGTTACTGAAGCATTGACAATACTTTTAATGGAAGTAACTTATAGGTTAGCCTGAGTAAGATGGTCAACTAAAAATAGGTAAATAGTCCCATTAACTAATCAAGCTGCTAGCTTGTAAGGAGTTAATCTGCTAGGGTTAGATAAAAGCATTGTGACATACTATTTTAGTATACAAATCATAGAGGGTTAAAATCTAGCTGGTGATGATTCTGACTAAGTATAAAAAATTTCATCATTTGATATATGTCTTTAGGGTTTAGTTTATTGGTAATGGATGCTATTCTTATTGAGGTGCCAACTGAAAATTTGAGTGCTGATTCCCTATTTAAACCCCTTGATTTATTTATAAAGACAGATAACTTTGGAATATATTTAATTGGATAGTGATATAACTATACATTGTTCATTTGTGAAAGAGTTCAAGGATATTTTCCCTTATCTATTTTTGTTCTCAAGTACTCTTGTATAAAAATTAAAGGGATAGTTTCTTATCCAATTTATTATCAAATCATCAAAAGAAAGGTTGTCAGCACCTTCATGCAGGGGTAATACCTAGGTGAGATTAATATCATTGGTCATAAAGAAACTCAACTAATAGGTATCTTCTTATGTATATTACTGTACTCTTATCTATGATAAATCAATCATACATAAACCTATGAAGTAAACCCTAAAACTTTAAAATTTGGTGCTCACTATATGGGTAGTTGAGTTTTAAGATTAAATAACACATCAGAGTTATCAGAAATATATCTTATAAGAAAAAACTTCAGAAACTATGGAGCAAACTGGAGGCAGTGAATACAAATAACTTAAAATTGACATCACAATCAAATCTGAATACCTTGGAATAACAAGTAAAAATGCTGAGGAAAAAACAGAGCAGGTCACAAAAGTTAACAATGATCTATATGAAAATGTCACCTCCTTTAAGAAAAAACTGAAATAGTAAAAAGGATTTATGTTTAAGAAGGTTGGGAAAGCAGATAAAGGAATTTCCATTGGCTTCATAATGATGTAATGCAAAGGAATGGTCACAAAATTTTAAAAGTCTAAGTGCAACTGCTCTCATATGAAGGCTGATGTAAATGACAGTGAATTATAGAAATAAGGTTTTATTGGGAAATTACAGCCCCTTTGAAATATGTGTGGGGCTTTTTAAACAC